CCACTTCCTCTTTCAATTCTTATCCTCCATCAGTCAGTCTTTTCTGCTTCCTCCTCCTCTGTCTCCCCCTCCCTTCCCAATTTCTTTCTCTCCATCTTCCATTTCCTGATACTTTTTTATTTCTTGATTCATCTTCTGGTATCCCTTTCCCTTTTCTCCAAAATAATACATTCAACTTGTTGACTTGCTTAGGGATTTATGGGAATGTGTTAGCACCGACTCTAAGAAACATGGTTAATTCTGAAAGATTTTGCTTTTATAGAGAATAGCTAATAGAAAGCTACAGACCCTTTTTGAAGTGACAGAAAAATCTCACTCTGATATATAGACATTAGAGCTGGAAAAGGATCGAGCTCCCCAGTCCAGCCTTTTGTCTTATAGGTAGGGTGAGGGAGGCACAGAGGGGAAATGATGTGCCCAAGGGTACTTGGGATGGTGTGGGTGGCCCATAGGAGTGGCAGGTGGCAGTGGCGGGTTAGCAGTCAGATTGCCTCAGTCTTGTGACACTAAACATTTATTATTATTTTAAACCCACTGACAACTACTAGGAAGTTTTAATTTTCTTACTGTGTGTCTTAGTCTACATATCATCTATACGCTGGTCCCAAGATGTCCAGGCATTTCTACTCCCAAATAGTTGATGCCTAGCTCTGTACTCTGGCTGTGGGCCTCTTTTCTCTCAGGAATGATTGCTGTCCTCACACTTGGTAAGCTTCGAAGTGTGCTGAGATGCTTTCTCTGCCATGGAGAAAAGTACCAACTCTGCCGCAGTTGGGGGCATGACATTGCAGGGCCCTCCAAGTTTTCCTTGACAGACCTTGTTTTCTCATTTTTTCTTTTCTCTCTTTCTCTTCTCTTCCTTCCTCTCTCTTTAATTTCTTCTCTTTTCCTTTTCTTTTTCATCTCTTTCCGCATTTCTGCTTTGATCTCCTATGGGGTCTATGGGGCTTTGGAGCCAGAGTTACCTCCCCCTGCAGATCAATGACAGGGTGTGCTCATTCAGTAGGTGGCCCTCACTGAGCTTTGATGTGTACCAGACAGTGCACTGAGCTCTGACATGTCTCTCTCTTTTAATCTTTACAACTTTTTTCCTATCAGGTGGTTACCATAATTTTCTACATCTTCCAGGTGAGAAAGCGAGGCCTGCAGAAGCTAGAAAACTTCTCAGCATCACAAAGCCAGTAAATGGTAGAGTAGAGGCTTTCTGACTCCAAACGTCATTTTCACAGCCAAAAACTATACCACGAGTCCCGGAGAAGCAGCCTGGATTTCTTCTTTGTTTGGCTTTTAACACATATTGACTTGAACTTGGTGGATTCAAGGAAATCTCAGACCCATAGCACCCCATTTCTATGAGTGGGTTTAGCCAGCCTTCTCTGGGGAGCATGAACACGTGCTGGGAGCTGACTCGTCAGTATAGATGGAAGTTTGTTGAGAACCCAACTCTCTTCTCTGTCATCACCATTTTATTAGTTTGTTTGGGCTGTCGTAACCAAGTACCACGAACTGGGTGGCCAAAAACAACAGAAATTTATTCTCTCACAGTTCTGGAGCCAGAGGTCTGAAGTGAAAGTGGTCCCTTCTTGAGGCTCTGAGGGAGAAGCTATCTAATGCCTGTTTCCCAGCTTCTGGTGGCTCCCCGGCAATCCTTGACATTACTAAGCTTGTGTCTCTCCAATTTCTGCCTCTCTTGCCACAGGGCATTCTCCTGTGTGTCTCTGCATCTCCAATCTCCCTCTCCAAATAAGATTAGGGCCCACCCTAATCCAATATGACCTCATCTCTCTTTTTTTTTTAAACTTTTTATTTTGAAATAATTACAGATTCAGAAGAAGTTGCAAAGATAGAACAAAGAGGGTTGGTATGCCCTTCACCCAGTTTCTCCTGATGGTTACTTCTTACTTAATTATGGTACAATATCAAACCCAACAATTTGACATTGGGACAATGTGTATGTATAGCTTTATGCCATTTTATCACAGGTCTAGATGTATGTAACCACCACTGCAATCAAGAAACAAGGTTATTCCATTACTACCAAGATCTCCCTGTTCTATTCCCTTCATAGTCACATTCACTGTCCTTCCTGTCACTATCCCTAACCCCTGGCAACCAGTAATCTGTTCTCCATCTCTATAATTTTGTCTCTTCAAGAATATGACATAAAGAATATGACATGTGACCCATTGAGATTGGCTTTTCTCACTCAGTATAATGCACTTTAGAATCATCCAAGACGTTGCATGTATCAATACTTTGTTTTTTGTGCTGCTACATAGTATTCCATGGAGATATAGATGTATCACAATTTATTTAACCATTCGCCTATTGAGGGACGTGTGGATGGTTTCCAGTTTTTGGCAATTACATAGAAAGCCGCTATAAACAATTATGTACAAGTTTTTCTGTGGACATAATTTTTCATCTCTTGGAGATGAGTGCCTAGGAATGTAATTGCTGGGTCATATGGTGGGTGTATTTTGTTTAGTTTTTCAAGAAACTGACAAAGTATTTTCCAGAGTGGCTGTACCATTGTATATTTCCACCAGCAAGGTATGAATGATCCAGTTTCACTGCATCTTCACCAGGATTTTGGTGTGACCTCATCTTAATTTGATTAGCTCTCCAAAGACCCTATTCCCAGTGAGGTCACATGTATGGGTACCAGGAGTTGGGACTTGAGTATATCTTTTTAAGGGACACAATTCAAGCCATAACACCTGTCTTTACTTCCTTGGGTCCTGGTGAGTCTGGCTTCAGAGTTTTGCTTTATGAGAAGAGCCTTGCTTTGGATTCAGGGCCTGATTAGAGAGCCCTTGATTGTTGAATTTCACCCCCAGGGATGGGTGAGCAAGTTTATATCATTTAAAGGGACATTATTGAGTCTTTGAGAAGTCTACTCAGCCCTCCAAAGTTTCAAAGACTTGATGCTAATGAATATTCTCGGAAGGTAGAATGTCAATGTGGTCTCCCTACCCAGTTTTTCCATGACTGTCTTTTCCCACTGTTCCAGTACTGACAAGGGAAAGGAAGAAAATAGGAAAACTGGATTATAAGTTGATTGAGGGAAAAGCCACAGTCTTAGTTATTTCTGTACCTCCTTCAGAGTGTAGGATGAGAAAGGTGTTCAGGAGATGTTTGTTGGATACATTAGTAGATGAGAGGGCAAGGGCCAGGGAGCCCACACAGAAGGGAAGTGGGTGAGTCAAAGTTGGTTTTATACAAACTCTCCATTCCCTTCTTCCCAAATGTACAACCTTTGTACTTGGGTTCCCAACAACTGGGTCAGATTAATTCTGCCCTTTTTCCCCTTGCTGAGGTCTGTTCCATTCCATTTCTATATTCATATGCTCCAGTTAGCCAGATGGAGGGAGAGACCTGGGGAAGGTATTGTGTGTGACCCTCTGTTCTGTGCAGCACCTTAAGTGCTGAAAGGCAGAATTGTACAGGTTTCAAGAGGGCAGAGTTAGACAGGGATTTGATCCTGGGCCCACCACTTACCAGCTATGTGGCCTTGACCTATTACTTATTCCTCTTAGCCTCTTTTATCTGTAAATTTGGTACAAAATATTTCTTGATGTGAACTTATTTTGAAGTAGAATATATATACAGACAAGTGCACAGAACAAAATTGTACAGCTCAGTAAATTTTCACAAAGTGGCCTACGTTATATTACCAAACCCCCAGAAGCTCCTTCTCGTCTCCTCCTAGGCATTACCTCACCCCCCTCCCAGCCACAATAATCCCCATCCCAATTTCTGATTTTACCTTTACCCGGTTTTGATTTTATATAGATGAAAATATATAGAACATATCTTTTGTGTTTAGTTTCTTTTGCTTATTGTCATGTTTACAAGACTCATCTATGTTGCTGGGGACGGTTGTAGTTTTTTAATTCTCCTTATTGAATAGCATCCCCACGTGTAAACATACTACAATTTAATGACCCATTGAACTGATGGTGGACATTTGGGTTATTTCCAGTTTTTGGCTATAAATGAAGCTGTTCTGAAAATTCTTGCATAAGCTTTTTTGTGGACCGGAACAGAGTCATCTAGGAGTAGGGTTGCTGGGTTAGAGCGTATGAACGTCTCTCAGCTTTATAGAACCTGCTCAGCATTTTTTTTTTTTATTAAAGGTATGCTTTTTTTGGTGAAGAAGATTGGCCCTGAGCTAACATCTGTTGCCAATGTCCCTCTTCTTTTTTTTTCTCCCCAAAGCCCCAGTACGTAGTTGTATATCCTAGTTGTAGGTCATTCTAGTTCTTCTATGTGGGATGCTGCCACAGCATGGCTTGATGAGCAGTGTGTAGGCCGTGCCCAGGATCCGAATCAGTGAACCCTGGGCTGCCAAAGCAAAGTGCGAGAACTTAACAGCTTGGCCACGGGGCCAGCCCCAGAACCTGCTCAACATCTTAATGAACATTTTTTAACTTTACATTGTAGTGAGAAGTAAATTAGGTTGTGGAAAGTGCTCAGTATGGTCTTTGGTAGATAGAAGACCCTCAACACATGTTTAAAAATATAATGAAGGCGTCATAGTCCATTAAGTTGAAGTGCCATAATGGGCTTAAACATTTCCCTATTGCTTGTTCATCTAGATTGTTTGCATTGTTTTATTTTATATAATGTTGCAGTGAATGAGTCTCTTTATAGATGTTTCCTTCTTTTGAAAAATTTGCTTTCAGTAAATTAGATTCAACTAGATCAAAGAATATGTGTGATTGTAAGAACTGTCACCCTTAAAATGACTCTGAGGGCCTGCTGAAGCACACTTCTCCTACCACAGCCCTGGGCGGCGGGGTATGAGGCTAGGTGGCTCGTGGGTTTCATGGAGGAGTGTCTTGTAGAGGACAGCAGGGTAGGGTAGAACAGAGGGTGATGAATTTTATAAATGACGGTGTATTTTTCAGCAACTCAGTATTTAGTTCCTTAGAAGGTAAACTGGGTAATTAGACAAGCAATATATAACAACCATTAAATCAGACAGGAGAGAGAAATCACAGGTGCAAAGATTCACTTTATTTTTTCATTTCCCCCCAAATATTAGCATGATTAAAGCCAAAGAGGGGGAGGGGGGTGAAGTGGGGAGAGGGGCTGGAGGACTGCAATGAGGGTAGGTCTCTCGGAAACGGGCCAAGGCCTGAGGGAGAAGGGAGGCTGGGGCTGAGGCTCAGGCGATGGGCCTGGTGGGCCGGCCTCTCTAACAATCTTCCCTATTGAAGCTCTTGACCAGGGGGGAGCTCAGGGTCTTGTGGGAGACCTCGCAGGCATAGACATTATGAGCTTCGTAGTCTGCTTTGGGCAGCGTCAGGGTGCTGCTGAGGCTGTAGGTGTTGTCCTTGCTGTCCTGCTCCGTCAGACTGCTGTGGAAGCTACTTGTTTTGGCAAGACCATCCACTTTCCAGTTGATAGTGGCTCCACTGGGGTAGAAGCCATACACCAAGCATACGACAGAGGCACTTCCACTGCTTAACTCCTCAGAAGACGGTGGGAAGATGAAGGCAGATGGCTTAGCATCATCCCCTGAGGAAGGAAGCACAGAGAAGGTTGTTTAAGTTACAGGGAAGTTCTCCACTTGAGTGCATCGTTTGTGGGCAAGCCCAGAGCCCAGAGGAGACAGACGTACAGGGAGCAGCGTGCTTATTCTATGTAATTGTAGCATTGAGGAAGGCCAGGAAGGATATTTATAATCTCCATGATTTTGAGTTTTTTCTTTAGCCCCTACCCCTTAAGAGAGTTCTAAACTATTGTGTTTGAACTCTTTGCAGCAGTTCTAAGGCCTTTTTGCATGCTTTTCTGACTTCACCTTTCTTTCCTCTAACCATGTTCCCTGTCTCCTGCAGTAAACACAGTGCTTCAGGCAAAGAAACAAAGACCCTTTCATCTGACCCCTCAGAGTTTAGAAGTGAGAACAAGTCTTGGCCTCTCTACATAGAAGATAATTTCCCCTGCGGCTCTCCTAGGACTGTGCAGTGACATCAGGCTGCCTTCCCCTTCCTGGGCTTCCTTTGGGTTTGTTGGGGTCAGATCCACCCTGCAGAGTGGGCCCCAAGCCCTGAGTCTGTGCCCAGGTTGGGGTTAGCCCCTTCATTCTCTGTGATCAGGCCAGCAACTCTCTCATCCCTCACAAGGGCCTCAGTGGGAGACCTGAGCCCTGGTCTGAGGGCTGTCACCCCATGGGGCAATGTTCAGCCAGACCAGGACGAGTCAACTGTAATTTTGGCCACCTGCCTAGGAGGAACTGGCCAGCTTCACTTCTGACTTAGAGCAGCTGCCAGGTGTCCTCCTGGAAATCCCCCTCTATGGGCATTCAAACCCCCATGTCAGAGAAGAAGAGTGAAAATAACAAATCAAGAATCCTTTGCTGCGAAAAGTCAGCTAATAAGCGAACAGATTTTTATAAAGCTAAGCTCCATGTTAACCAAGCAGTTCAACATAAGATACCGAACTTTTTATGTTTTGATATTTTCTTCTCTTTTAACCTTCATTACCAACTTTTTTCCAGAGAATTTTATAAAATAATCTTGGCGGCAAAATAATGTAAATTCTAGAAAAAGATGGAGGAGAAATATTCTATGAGGCTACTCCTATCTGGCAGAATCCTTGACAGCTTTAAATTTTCTATCCTTCATTAAAATATTAAACAATTAGTATATTTGATACAGAAGTTCTTGCAAGACATCTTCGGAGCTTTTAATGGAATTTAAAATTCATTAAAAGAGTTTTTTAAAAGGCCCTAAAATAGTTTCTCTACTTAAATGGTTTAAATAATTCTGAGTTTTAAAAGAGTCTTAAAACAGCCCAAAAACAGTCCTGTCAAATTGCTGGAGACCAAAAGTAATCTTTCTGAAGCATCACTTTTGAAGTCAGCTGAAGTAAACAACAAATTACTAAACTATTTTAGAGAGTATGAGATTTGAATACTCAGATAAAAATTTTCTATCACAGAGTGAAGGCATTGGAAAATATGTTTATATCAAGTTTTTATTAATGGTATTTATATATGATTAGATATTTTGTACAACTGAAATATAATCCTACTCAAGCCATTAAATTTTTTAAAATTAAAAATGTATCATAGATTTATCTTATTTTTTGTCAGTTAATTTACCTTAATGGTATTTAATATGAACTCAGTAAAAGCTAATTGATCAAAACGCGAGTGGCCAGATGACCTTAAATTAGATTTTTGCTGGTGGAGATTTTACTCAGAAAGAGTTATGTACACTTCTTTCCTTTGAATTGAGCTTTTATTATTTAAATACATTAGATGAGAGGATATTGAAATAGTTACAGATCACTGAAAAAAATAGCTTTAAATTCTTTGTCGTCCCTTAATGGAATTTCCATTAAGAGGTTGTAATAATGAATGTGCGTTTAATTTCTGAAATCTCTAATAAATCAGGCTTCCCTCTGTTTTCCCTGTGTTAGCTCAGTGCCCACCACAGTTCTATTCTCTTCCGTTAGTGACATTATTTGTATCACTGTGGCGGGAAAGTGGGCCACAGCGGACTGCAGCGGGCTAACGCAGAGTTGCCATAGCCTTTAGCGGCTGTGCGCTCTGCCACACGAGCATTGTGGCCTGGCCACGAAAGTCATTCAGTCACGAAAAAAGATCACCATGAGGTCTACAGACCACGCTAGCTGAGCCATGGCCTCCTTGGCGGTATAAAACCATGGCCAAGTAATAACTGAGAGAAATCAAAGAACATATTAAAATATTTCCTATTTTTCTACAAGTCTATAAACATGAAAAAAATGCAATTATTTTATTTTTCTTCATTTAAAGAAATTTCTTCAAAACTCAACTTTTGGGAATAACCGCCTTTATAAAAGATAATTTCAAGTTTAGTTTAATATAGAAATTGGGTTTAAAAAAAGGAGACATCTGCCAAGATATAAAATCTGTGTAGAATTTCTGAATATTGACAGTTTATCACTCATTTTAGACACTAAAAATGACATTGCTCCTCACTATCAATTAAGCTGCATCTTTTACGTGGCAAAAAGGTATACTTTTCTAACTTCTCACTAATTTTTCAGTGCATCCTGTTTATTCTTATTATCTTATAAAATAATTTATCGGACAGAAGAGAGAAATCAGACTAAGAAATACATTTCTCTACTTTTCTGTATCATACACAATGAGCAAAAATCAATACAATATTTGGCAAAACTGAATGAAAATTAATTCACTTCTGTTCTTTAGAGCTGCAAAGGTTCCTTTCTCATTTACACTAATTTTTTTTCCTTTGACTCATTCAGTTTAGATTAAATTCATCTTTTTGTCTATGAATCCATTTTTGGAGCTGAGTTTAACTTTTGAAACTGATGATAAATCTGAAATGCTCCCATTTACCTATTTCCACAAAACTCATACTTAAACCTCTAAAAGTAAATACTGGCATTTAAACCCAAATTTTGGAAGGCAATAGAGAAAAATTACTTACTTTTAATGTCCAGACGCGTCCCTTCACCAAAGGTGATCCAGTATTAGCTGAATTACTTTCCCCTCAGCAAGAACCTCTTTTTGCCGCTAACCTCATTCGATTGGTGGATAGAGAAAATCTGGCCACGTCAGACTAACTAGCTCTATTCTCTTCCTTGAGACGAACTGATTTTGAGTCCCTTACCCATCTGACTTTCGGAAGAGTCCCATTTTCTTCAGAATTGGCCTCAACTCATATCCCAAACATGAAAACATCAAAATTTCACAACTGGAGAAGAAAAGGGATTAGAAAAGTGCACTTACGTTTGATCTCCAGCTTGGTCCCCTGGCCGAACGTAAGCCACAGTGAGGGATCTAACTCTGACCCCGCAACAAAAACCTCCTTCCGAAGCCAATCATGTGGGCAAGGCTAATTCTGAGAAAAAGCCAGCTATTTCGTCCCCACGCTCCCCACAAATCCTACTCTCCTCACAAACTCAACAGTTTGTCTGTTTGCTCAGCTTAAAAGTTGGCTATTTTCTAGTTTTCTACTGTTTACTTCTGGGTCACCAGAATGGCTCATTTAACCAAAATGTCACAAACTTGCACAAATGATACAATGAGACAAAAACCTCGCAAGTAATTGAGAAAAGTGTACTCACGTTTGATCTCCAGTTTGGTCCCTTGGCCGAAAGTGAACCACAGCGACTACTTAACTTCCACCTCTACAAAAACCTGCCCTAAATGGCAGGCTAGCCCCTGCCCCAAGTAAGTGATTTTGATTTGGAAACCCTTTAAAAATTAGCTGTCAGCTAGCCTTCTGTGGAACAATTTTCCCTTCTCTGCCCCTAATCTGGGAATGACATTTGTTTTATCCCTGACATCTAACTATTGAAAACACACAAAAAGGAACAAAAAGCAAATCAATTAGACAGAAACAGCAAAGAATCAGTTGAAAGAACTACTCACTTTTGATCTCCAGCTTGGTCCCTTGGCCAAACGTGTATACACAGTGGTTTCTCTTAACTTCCCCGTCTTACAAAAACTGAGTTTTCCTTTCTGACAGTTAAACAAGGCTCTGTTCCGAACATCTCACTGTGCTCCCCAGTAAATTTCTCCTGAACTTATCACCGAAACAGGTTATTTTCACCCAGTGACTAAATCTTGTCCTTCACAGAAAATGTGCAATCAAGTCTCAAGTTTGTCTAGAACCTTTATCTTTATCTTTTCCCCAGAGGATGTCAGATCCTGTTTTCAGAGTCATCTTATAGATTACTTCATAGACACAGAGACCACAAGACAAAGACAACCGAGGAAGGAAAGGTTGGGGTTTACTCACGTTTGATTTCCAGCTTGGTCCCGGCACCGAACGTCCACCACGGTGATAGCTCTCCACTGTGTCACTGCACAGACACCCTTCTCACCAAAGAAGAGCGGAGCCCCCAGTCAGCTGCTGAAGCTTCGCTTCCTCGTCAAGCGGGTGCAGAAGCCCTGGGCCTTCCCTGACAGAGAACGTTTGTTTTCTTCGGTGAGATCTAAAATTCTAGAAGAGGACCTATTTATGTCTGTGGCCTGATGGTCCCTTTCTTTAGCAATCTACCACATCTAGGCTACTTCTTATTTATTTATTTATTTTCTTTGGAAAGTAGGTTGAATGTAAATTACAAAGAAAGACACATAAATTGAAAAATTGCAACTTCTTTATGGCTTCTCCTGGAATGGGGGCTTTTGCAAATGATAAACCTCATTCCATGTAATTATGGAACTCTTTGGCTTCTCTCAGTGAATAGTAATTAAAGAATGTCTCCATATTTGAACCTCTCCTTTGCTAAGAAGTTGTTTCAAAAAATGGAGACTAAATGTATATCAAATCAAAGCCCATGTCTTACTTTGAAATGTACTTTGGAATTAAGCTAGAGATGACATATGAAATGAAAACAAAGATCAAGAGAGTAGAAAAGTAGACTGTACTTGATTTATTGTCTATTGTCATAGGACAGGTAGAGTTCAGATGGGTACCCGCCACATCACATTAAGCTGAACCAGGTGAATGCTGTCTCTGGAGCTACCAGGAAATCATGGTGGGCCATGGTGTTTCCGTAGTAACACCATCAAGGACACTGACGACCTCATTTTGTTTTGAGTCCAGCTTCACTTATTGCAATCTTGTTTCCCTCTTAACCTCCTAACCCTGCTTCAGCATACATTGCTCCCACCATAGCATACATTGCTCCCACCATCCTAGACTCCTTACTGATCTCCTATGGCCTCTGGCTTTTACAAAGCTCTCCCTCTGCTTGGAAACACCTTTGCTCAAGACTCAACTCAAGAGACTTTTGCTTGGATTAGCCCCCAGCAAGTGACCCAGTTTGCAGAGTACGGAGGCAGATCTTTGGGCCTAGAATGCCTAATTGCTTTTATCTGCTGTCAGAGTATTTCTGGATTGTAAACTGATGTTTCATTGTCTTGTATTTGGAAAGCCTAGTCCAGTATCTTCACTTGGCAAATGCTCAACAAACACTTGCAGAATCAATGAAAAAAAAAACCCCAACAACAAATAGTTGAAAATCAATAATAGATCAGAGCTGATAAATTATAGTAGACCAATATAATACTGACCACTGCAATAGTAAGTTTTACAGGAGACATTGTAATTGTAATTCTGAAGATTAGGGGTAAGTTCTCTTGATTCTGTCCCTGGGAGCTTTGCTAGTTGCCTTGAATAGTAAAATCAGCAGTGGATCTCACCTGAAGATGAGGAGAGAGAGGAATCAAGTTGGAGGTAGAGAGAAGAGAGAAACTGGCAAGTGGAAATTAAATGTGCAAAATACTTGACTGGGGACATAGCCAGCATGGATCCTAAAGAGGCTAGAAAGTGATTTTCTTTGCAGAGATACAGGCAATACCAATGGTAACAGCTGACATTTATTGAGCACTTATAAAGTGCTGGACATTATATGTAGATCACCACATTTAGTTATCCCCCTAAATCTAGGAACTAGAAACTAATATTATCCCCTATTTTGTAGAATAGGAAACCTGGGTGCAGATATGTTAAGTAACTTGTTCATAACAGTGAGTGGCAGAGATGGGATTTGAACTCAGGGCCCACACACTTAATTGACACTGGGAGTAAAGTCCACCAATGGAAGCAGCATGCATGGCAGATAAATGCTGGGGTGGGGGAAGGAACAGGAAACCTCATCGACTGTTCTAGGGTTGGAAATGAGTAGGAGTGTGATAACTGTGTATACAAGTCTGCTCATTGAAATATTGTTTAAAAGGTGAAAAAATGAAAAATAGCTGAAATCTTCATCAATAGGAATTTGGTTAAACTAATTATGAGCTTTGCAATAGAGCACAATGCAGCCAATAAAAGGATGAAATAAGTTTCTATATAGTCACATGGAATGTGATTGTGAAAATACAGGCCACTGAACGCTATGTATTGTGTGATATTATGGTCCCATTTTAATTGAATATATATGGATTCAATACAGGCTAATTCCTGAAGGAAATACAGTAAACTCTGCTCAGTAGTTATCTCCTGGGATTATGGAGGTGTGTTGTTGTGGAAGGAGTAGGAGCAATGATACTTTCTCTTTCTACTCTTCTGTATATTGTAGGGTATTTGATTTTTTAAGTTATATGAATACATTCATTTTGTGGTTTTCAGAAACAATAAGGCTGTTACCAATTTTGATGAAAAATAAACTCTGATGTTGCCTAGTAGGAGTCTCCATATTCATATTAAATATATAAATATAACTTTAAAATGATATATACATATTCTTGAGTTTTCTTGCTCAATTAAATACTTTTCTATAATCTTTAAATCAAGAATGTGAAAAAACTTTCCTACATCTGTATAGGAGACACTCTTTTATAAATGTAGGAGATGTGGGGTGATGTAGGGGCTGGAAAATGGGAATGAAAAAGATGACATGGCTGTACAGGGATGTATGTTCCTAAGTGAGTAAATTGGAGATCTAATGTGAAGAGTGCAACTGAATGACTGTTATAAAGCAGTGTTTGCTACTAATAAAAGATAATCATCATAAGAAGCATTGTGGCAAAAACTATTTTATTGATCACACACAGTAGTGATTGGTAAGAATGGTCGTTGTGATGTTTGTTGTAACATAAAATGGATCACTGAGGAATGGTTGAGATCCTTAATATGTGTGTGGCTCATTATTTGAAGGCAAAAGATGTCTCAGAATCATCTGTGAGGCTCTGCCAGGATCTACCGTTCTACAAAGTGTCCATGATGGACCTTGATAAGATTGATTTAGTGAGGAAAGGCAGCGTCCATAAATTGGTCTGAGATATTCTTGGATTTAATGTATAAGAGTGATGGACACAGAAATTTTGGGGGAGCATTCCAACAAACTCATCACTGAAACTGCTTCCCATTTGGCCCCCAGCAAAGTTAGATTCTTAGAATAAATTCTAAACTGCGTGGAGGAGACAGAGAGAAAAAGAGAGAGAGAGAGAGGCCAACACTAAATGCACATGTATAAATCATTCTGAAAACTATTGATAAGCTATCTTATCAATGTTCCTCAGGTCTAACATTTCAAGAAACAGCATTTTTGATTTTTATTTATCATAATTAACCCACCTCTTTGGAGAGGTCTGCCTCACACCAGTAACATAGAGTAAGTCACCCAGTGTGTCTGAGACACGACAGCACAATTTTGCTCTTTACAAGGTTTGAGGAATGGTGGTTTCCTTACCTGGTTCTGGAATACTGGTGTCTGATAATCCATCTTGAAGCCTGCAGTTCAATATTTTTTTCCAGCTCATCAATCATGGTAGAGTCCAAGGTAGGTGATTCTTTTTACTTCAGCTTGGCTCCTCCTTAGGATCATAATGTATGTCATTTGTACTTGACTTAAGCTGCTATCCCACAAGGTGAGGAGGAAATTCTGGAGTCCACATTCGGTGGTGCTTAGAACCTGATCAATAGCTAGTCTTCAGGCTGGAATGCCACAAGCAAATGTCTGTTCTGAATCCCCAAGGGTCAAGTCTGGCCCCTTTAGCTGGGCAAGAGGGAGACAGAGGAGGTCACTTGAGAAATCGCTGCTCCTTTGCTGCTTTGGAGCTGTGTCTGTTTCCAATCATCTCTGAAGAAAGATGTGCTGGGAGAAGCAAAGTCCTTTGCTCAACCATGTGCGAATGCATGTGCCATAAACATGCCCCCAGATTCTGGTCCTGCTGAGGAAAATGTAGGCACTCATCTTGTTTCCAAGAGGACATTAAGGCTGCAGGTATTTTTTGGCTTCCTAGAGTGAAAGAGAGAACAGCAGCAACTGTGTTGGGGTTTACTACCCTTGAAGAGGCTCAGCCACGGAGATTTACATATTGAGTGTCGTGGTTTCTGGCTGGCTTTCCACAAGTGATGAGGTCCCCCTAGAGTTCCCTGACCCGCTCCGTCTGTCTACAGTTTTTGGCATTCAACCCTGCGTCCTCCCCCTTCCTACTGCAGAGAAACCCATCATGGACAGCTACTGTGATTAGGCTAGCTCAGAATGCACTTGTGAAATCCATGAATTCAGGACTGGGTCTTCACACTTTTTGCCCTTTCTGGTGTCAAAGTCCTCAGATTACACATGGACACTCTACTCTGCTCCCTGCTGGTTTGAAGCCCGGCACTGAGCATCTTGCACCTCCCCTGCCAACCTTGTCTCCCCAACTCCCGCAGTCTTGTTCGTCTTGGGTAGTGTCTGGGCTGTAGACATTTCCTACCCACTGCTGGACACTGCCTCGTGCCTTCAATGTGAATATCTCCATCCCGTTTCAGAAGGGTTTCCATCTCCCTCTGCTTTCTAGTTCCATTAGTGTTTCTGTTCAGCTTCATGGATCAGTTAAGTTGGTTACCACTCAACTGAATCTTTTGCTGCTGTTGCCTCCTGCCCTGCTCTTCCTGTCCTTCTAGGATTATTTCTGTAAAATAATACTCTTAAAATTTTTTTGTAGTTTAGATTTTTTTGTTTTTGTTTTTAAGCACAGGGATATTGTGGTAGAATGTATGGGTTTAACCCATAATCTTAACCTGGACCTTCTTTAATTGGCTCCTTTGTGTTCTAAATGGAATTGAACTGGGCTGGCTCCTGGATCTCCCTCTCATCCTCATCTGCATACACATTTAAGGGCCATTAGTCTGGTGCTGGGAAAGAAGCAGCACGATCATCCCTGTCCCTGTCCACCCCTATTTGTCCGGATCATCCTGGCTGAGATCTAGAGTTGCAGACCTAAGAGGAGGGCAGGGAGAGGGCAGGGGGACAGGAAAACAAACAAACAAACAAAGCAAAACAAAACCTAACAGGTTGAATCAAGAAATAATTTGGGTAAGTTGAATATAAGTGATGG